CAATCATAATGCAACAGATGTGATGGAAGAAGTAATGGTGTAAGAACAACTAATACACAGTTATCTTTGATAACCACAGTTGTCTTTGCCCCAAATTGATAATTTAGGACTAAACTGCAAAACACAAGAACTTTAATTTTTAAAGACTTTCTAAAAATCTTTATTGGAAGAATTCTCTTGAAGCCCAGCTTTCCTAAGAACAATGTATTAACAGGCTTCTATACATTCAACAGAAGTGCAGAATTGAATAGTCAGTGGAATTATGTGCTCCTAGAATCAACTGAAACTTTAACTATCCTCCAGTCAAATAACCAGAGAAATTCCAACACTGTTTTATTCATATCAGTTTCAACTATTAAAATGATGGATATTAGCATTTCATTAACTTTCAGATAAAACCAAACCCACTAAAATGTTTATGTCTACACAAATAACTGCCATTTTACCTTTGTCCATTCTTCCCCATTAGCTATAAAATTAAAAGAATAAGACTTGTAAATTACAAACCTTTGCAGCTTTTCCAGTTCTTGCCTTCAGGGCTACGAAGTCCATATCTGCAGGAAGAGCAACCTAGTAAAAAATATTTTCCAGTCATTTATATTATTTTCCAGTAATAATGTTCATAAAGTTTGAAGCAGAGTACCTAATGTTCCCTCCAAAATAGGGGACATAGGCAGGGCTGAGGGAGAATGACTGGCCCAAAGTCACTGGCTCTATAAATGACAGTACACACAAACCTGGGTTTTCCCAGCACATCTCCAAGATCTTCACCTGTCTGGTCTTTGTATCAGAAACAAAATAATTTCAAATGATTTAAATCAATTTCTTTGTTCATAAGCCTCAACAATTACAGATAGTCATCTACTTCTGACCAGACATGTACCTTGATTTGAAATTCCAGTGTTTGGGCTCATTTTGCAATCATATGACCAAATTTTGGGTGTTCAGCAACAGGACATTTGAAATGTCCCGCAGTCACATGGCCAAGTTGTATGACTGCTGAAAACTGGCACCTACTTCTGGTTTTCAGTAAAACCACATCCACAGGGAACATTAAAGACAGCAATGTTCACTTAACAACCATGGACTGGTTTAATAACTACTGCAAAAAAAAAACCTGTAAAATTGAGTCGGTTACGTGACTGACCCTTTTATGACAGTCATAACATATGACAGTAACAGGTAGACTCTATTATGGTTACACGTTGAGGACTATCTGTAGTTTTGTTCCAACTAAGGTTATGGATCCCCTCAACTTGTTGATTTTGCATTACTAGTTACTTCAAGAACATTTCAAAACAGTAATATTATTAACTCTTTTTCCAGAGCTCACAACCATCTCTGTTCCTTAGGAAAGAGTATTCTATAATGTCTTTTTCTGGTTAATTTGGTCAATAAAGAGGTAAATTGCCCATAAATCTTAATGTTGTAAGCTTAGCTCCTAGAAATAACTTACAATTTTATGCTACAAAATGTCTGTTTTTAAACAAGAGAGATCTAGAAAGCTCTATCTACTCTTTCTCTTAAGTAAACAGCTAAATTAATGAATATCACAATATCAATCTCATTTCTATTTACCTCCTACCTTTATAAAGTGCTTGGGTTCCCTTTTTAGTTTTAGAAAGAAATGGAAATCAAAGTATATGTTTAAGGAGAGGGGACTATGGACATGAATTTCTTCTATTTCCACTGAAGATGAACATTTAGCTCATATTATAACAGTATTCAAAAATGTCTCCTTTTCCTTTTCCCATTACTTACTCTCACACAGAAAAGCAAACTATTGCTAAGTAGTTTTCTATTTAATAGTATTCTCAACTTATAATAGTAGCACTATATAAAACAGCGTTCATCACCCCCACCAATCTCACACTCACCTCATGTGTACAGCCTTCAATTGTTTCAACAGCTTGTACTTTTACTTTTGGCATCACATCTGCCAAACTGAAATGAAAACCACATTAATTTACCAGTCAATAATGAAATATGTATGTTATACTTTACTTTTAAAGATTAATTATGCTAATAATGATCATTATCCATACATCCAAGTCCACATTCTGGACAGAAAGGACCACTGGTTTGAAAGAGGGTCAAAGAGGCCATCCATATTCAAACTAAACAGACCTCTTTCAACAGAGGAGGGATACAGCACCACCTATCTCCTGTCTACAACAGTCCTTTCAGCAGTCCCAAGATTCCACATCCATTTGCACTTTGATTCAGGTGACCCTGAGGTTACCCCAAGTCGCCTCAATGACTTTCAGAGACCTAACAACCAATCTTCAGAGTGCTAATGACCAGATGACTGCAAGAATATAAATCCTTCTATTCCCCACCATTCAGTCAGAACAGAAGAAGCTTCTTGTATGAGAAGTGAAATATTTTCAAGAGAAAAAAAACCAAGAAGGTCCAGTTGCCTTTTGAAAAACACCTTGCTTGTTTGCATCTACTTCTTGTGATATACCAGGAAACCAGCCCAGGATGCCACAAGAAGCAAGCAAGAAGCAGTCCAAGATCTATAGTGTACCAGAAAGCCTCAGCCCAGCATGGCCCCAAAGGACTTGCTTTTACTAACTTCACCCAAAGAGGCCTGCTTTTGCACAAAGGGACTTGCTTTTGCTAGCTTCTGCAAAGTGTTTCTTGGAAAGAAGTGCCTCTAGTCATAAATGCAGGCAGTGCTGCCAAGTGCCCAAATTTTGATCACATGACTGTGGTGCTGCAATGACCATAATTTCAGGCATGGGATATAAGTTCCTTTGTTTAGCAAAAAGCTGCTGAACAAACAATCATAGATGTATCTTTTACTTTCCTTAAACATTCAAAATGCTTCACATACATTTTTTTCAGTAATTTTTGCATCAAGTCTTACCTGGAGGAAGATTTATTCTACTCACTGGGAGCAATGGAAAATACAGAATTGCTTAACAAGATCATTTCTAATGCAAGCAGTGTTAGATGATAAAACATTCTAATAGCTTCTAATGTATGTCTTTTACAGTATTTCTTTTTGCAATGGCCCACAAATCGTTATCTCTTCCATTCTTTAAAAAAAACATAAGCATTTCCAAGTCTAACATGTACATCTCATTCTTACTTAAGATCATCCGTAGAGAGGTCTTCCAACTTTGGTCTTTTTCCCAAAGCTGTAATATCTGCACTATTAAATTCTGCATCACGTTTTTTTTTGGCTTGGATTTTTGCAGAGGCCACAGATTTGCCATCTCGTTGTTTTCTAATTGGAAACATAAAAAATAGGGGCCAGGAATCAGCTCTGATGAATCATATGAGCAAAGCCCAACATATCAACAAACTCTGCTTAAATATCCAATATTGCCCTGATGAAATAAAAATTCCCAAAAGCATTATTCCCCTCATACATTACCTGGTAACAGTGCCCAAAACTGGGGGAAAGACCACCATCTTTCTGAATAGGTTGCACTGCAGCATAAGGAAGGGAGGAACCAACTGCCCAAATGGGTAATGTTCATTTGAATATTCAGCAAATAAAACATGAACACTCAAGAAAGGAACAACCAAACCCTTTTAACGTGTCTGGGGACCCCTCCCCAAAATGGGGAACCGGAAGTACCACACACCAAAGGAAGTTTCCTGGAGGTCAGATGGGGAACACGTTATCCTCTATACCAGTGTTTCTCAACCTTGACAATTTTAAGGCATGTGGACTTCAACTCCCAGAATTCCACAGCCAGCATTGCTGGCTGTGGAATTCTGGGAGTTGAAGTCCACATGCCTTAAAATTGTCAAGGTTGAGAAACACTGCTCTATACCCGGTTCATTTACAGCATTCTTATAGATTTATATCACAGCTTCAATCCAGAATTTGAAAAAGGCTCAAATTTGGTAGGTCCCTTTTATTTTAACCCCACAAGAACCACGTAATATAGTGAAGGAAAGCGACTGGCCCCAAGTAACTTGTGACTGAACCTGAATTCACCAATCCAACAACTGAAAAACTGCATGCAACACGTTGGGCTCTCTGTATTTCGCGCATCCTGGTCCCACATGGATAAAAACGTAAACAGGATATGAAATCAAGGCCTGTAGGGAGATCCTTTTTTCCTTTGGTTCTTAGTACTAAGACAGTGTTTCTCAACCTTGACAATTTTAAGGCATGTGGACTTCAACTCCCAGAATTCCACAGCCAGCATTGCTGGCTGTGGAATTCTGGGAGTTGAAGTCCACATGCCTTAAAATTGTCAAGGTTGAGAAACACTGTACTAAGAAAACGTCTCAGAGATTCTATCTCGCCTGCTGCAGCATAAACCTGCATCTGAGGAACCCGAAAGACTTAAAACACTCAAGTTTGCTACTAGGAAGAGATCCCGTCCCTAATCTCTTCAAACCCTCGCTTGTTCCTCACCCTAACTTGCTTGAAGTGGCTGCCTCGGGTGTCCCCTTCGTTTCCTTTAAGCCAGAGCTGGCATCGTCTTCGAACACGCTGAACAGCTCATCCCCGAAAGCGTCCGCCATCTTCCCCGCGAGCGCGCAGCAGCGGTTCCACCTCCCACAACAATACGCCAAGGGTATAAACGACGATAGAGTAAAGAAGGGCTAGATCGGCTGCAGCTAAACTTCCGATCAACGTCGACACCCGCCGGTTGCTCATAGAGATAACACGTACAGAAAGGCAAGCACCGGTTTTTTCATTTTAATATTACTTTTATAAAACCTTTCCCGCAAAATTAAAATCTTAGTAAAAAAAATATGACGGAAACGGCTTGTCAAACCGTGAGGTAGTTTTATCTCTAGAGAGTTTCTAAAGCAATTCTTTTTGAAGAGCGAGAGGCGAAGGTTGCAATCTAACAGAGAGCGAGCCACATTTTCTGAGTTTTGGGCGGAAGTGACTGCCCATCTCTTGCCCTGATCCAATCAGAAGGGTGATGACGACAGCGGCGGCTGCTCATTCCCGGATGTAAGCAGAAGCGGCGTGAGAGCTTGGTCGGGGAGCTCGCGGTCGAGGCAGGCGTGTGTCGGTCATGGGCGGCAAGAACAAGAAGCACAAGGGCGGCAGCGGCGCGGCAGGAGCGGGCGCTGTGCATCCCGCTGCGGTAGCAGCAGCCCGGGCTAAAGTGGTGGGCGCCGCCGCGGCTGAATCGGGAGCCGCCGGAGAAGCTGCCTGCAAAAGATCTCTGGTGCCCCGACCGAGCCCTGCCGGGAAGGACCTGCGTGTCAAGCAAGGTACCCTCCCGTGAGAAAAGGAGAGGCACGGAGGGAAATTGGCCCGTCGCCTTTCCTGGTAGAATTCAGTGGGACTCACTCCCTGGTTGCCTCCTGGGAGTGTTGGGGCCAAGAGGGGCAGGACGGAGATCCGCTTCCCTCAACCGAGCACTCTGCAAGTGGGACGTTTTAGGCCAGTGTTTCTCAACCTTGACAATTTTAAGGCATGTGGACTTCAACTCCCAGAATTCCACAGCCAGCAATGCTGGCTGTGGAATTCTGGGAGTTGAAGTCCACATGCCTTAAAATTGTCAAGGTTGAGAAACACTGTTTTAGGCTGACCTGCCCGCTGGGCTTTCGGTTGGGGGAGGCTGGTCCCGGTGAATTGCATCTCGGAGCTGGAAAAAGTATAATTAGTTATCTGTTAACTGGGTTGCCTGTGCTGCCACTCCAGTATTGAAATAGAAGCCAATTGTCATTTTTCCCCCATCGTACTCCAGGTTCACTAAGAGAAGGTATAGGACATAGAAGAAAGCCCTTTTATGTTTAAACTTTATAAATTTGAGCCTCGGTATATTTTAAGCTTTCTATGCTAAGTGTAGGAAACGGGGCCCCTTTCAGTTGTAGGCATGAATAAAGTTTCACAGCTAGATTCTTGGCAATTACTTGCATGCACCATGTGGTTTTCTTGCCGACTGTAGAGAACTAGTTTGATTACTGTCGTCTGGGATTTTTTTTTCATTTCCAAATCTACTACAGGTATCCCCCTCAGGATCTCTCACCAGACCTGAGCCTTTGAACTCATTAACCATATGCTTTTTTCTGACTATTAGTGTCTTAGGGAATTCATACTAAACCATGGTCTGTTTGCTAACATAAATCTAACAGAGTCAAATTATAAAACTAAAGGCTATCTCTGGATGTTTGGTTATAAACTACAAAAGAGTGCTTGAATTCTGGATATTTTGTGACCTCATGAATATGAAACTCAAAATGTGTTAGAAGTTACAAACCTTTCCACTTGCTTTATCCACAAATTAATCCAGTACCAGTAATCCAGAATTAGTTGCAAATAAAAACAAACAGCTCTATCTTTTCATTTACAATGAAATCAACAAAACACACATTTCTTGAATCTGCTGTTTGATATCTAGAGTGTTGTTTTCTTTCCCCCTGTGCAGAATAATTCTCTTATGAACTTCAAGTTAAAATGCTGTTAGCAAATATTTAATAGGAGAAATATATAAAATTATATAGGATATGAGAACACTGATAGAGGTAGAACATAATTCAGTGAAGGTGGATGTAGGATGGTGGGGAATAACAGGAACTTTATTCATTTAAAACATATAGTCACCCATATTATATCCAGCTCTGGGCATCTGTAATTATCTAGATACACAGCTTGCAAAAGTAAGATTTTATGAGCATTAACTTGGATATTTTAAAAATAGGAGTAATGCTATCAGTTGGTCAGCGCTTTTGTGTCTTGCTTTTATGTCCCATAAATTTTTGATTTGCCTTTCGGAGACTAGAATGTTGTACTAGATAGACTCTTATGTTGGCTTTCTCAAATAATTATTTGCTTAATTATACAGGTCCAAAAACATATAGCTTTGGTTCTGCAGTTGACTCCAGTGCAAGTACAGATGAGTCTATTCTTAAGGTGAGATGATTTGTTAGATGGAAAAATAAATCTTTGGGGAGGGATCAGGAATATACGTAACAGACTGAAGTCCTAAATTGAAAAATTATATAAAATTTAAATAAATTAATATTAAATGTATTTATTAAGTAAATTTAGCAAATAATATATACGCACAATTCAGTAACCTTTTTCATAAATATATAGAGAAAGTATTCAAGTGCATACCATTGGGCTGAATCTTTAGCTGTGAATGTGCTTTGTTCAATAATTTTTAAAGCTTGTAACCAAGGTTTTCTTTCATTTCAGGTTATAATTAATAGTAATTTGGAAAAAAGAATTATTGCCATAATCAATGAGCATAAGAAACAAACTGGTGAAAAAGGAATGATTTCTAGAAGACTAACTGCTAAAAAATTACAGGTAAAATTGGAGACTCTTTCTGTGCATTAATATTTAACATATCTTTTAAGTGAGGTCATTAGTTTGTTAATGATTTGTGGTCCGTTTATTTGATATATTAAACTGACATAAGGCAAAGATGATTAATTTCTGTTTACTTTCAGTATTCATGATATATTGTATTTCAGGTTCTTGCAACGTTATAATCGACTTTCCTACTTTTCCATGTATTGTGTTCTGTATTGGTTTTGCTTATTTATAATTAATTTTATTTAGTCTTTCATTGTTTTCTCTTTGGTTTTTCTGTTCAAATTGGGTAGCAAACATTTAAAAAAAACTGTGAAAGTAATTTGAGTCACCTCTAAGCAAATGGATAGCAAATCAAATAAGCAAATAAATTCTAACCCATGGAAATTAAAAATCAAGACACTTCAAGTAACTAAGGGTTTGTTGAAGAGACATATCCTGATGACTTTTCTAAAGGCTGAAAGGGTTGGATCAACTTCAGCTCTGAATGAATCCTGTAGCCTGAGACTATTGCAAGAGAAGGCCTTCGCTTCATATCTAGTAAATGAATGAATAAAACAAGGGGCATCTGCAAAATAGCCTTTCTTGCAGATCTTAGTGCTTGTAAAGTTTGTGTCAGGAAACTTTACAACCAGGAAACACCCTGGTTAAAGCTTTAGAGATTAACACTAGCACTAGTACTTAGAACACAATTGGCAACTAGTGAATTTCTTTCTGTGTGGTCATAACACTGATGATACTTGACTCTGAATCAGCCAAGTGAGGCTGTCCAAGGTTCTGTCCCAGTGCCTGGGGACTGTGCAAGTTTGGATGGGGAGGAACTATTTCCAAATAAGTGGCATGGATATTTGGACCATCCAGATCTGACCATATTGTTTTGTACTGATCTTTGTTTTTAAATGTTTTTAACAATTGTAAACTGCAGAGAGTCACTGGGAATTGGGCAACATATAAATTTAATTTATTATTAATGTGATTCCATTATTAGGCACTGGTTAATAAACTTCCTGCTAAGTTTTGTATTGACTGAACTTTCTGGATACTTTTAAAGGTAAACTTGTATAAAGTGTGCAGTAGTGGCAGTTGTGTACATGTACTTTTTGCCGTAGTTACTCACCTGGGAATCCAGTGACGCCTGTAGATAAAAAAACATTCCCGGCTTCAGGCTTACTGTTTCAGGGAAAGAACAACTCTGTAAAAGAAAATTTAAACCTTTAAATCTGATTCCTTTGACCAACAATGGTTCCTCACCTTTATGCTAGTTTTTTCTTCTTGAAACCAGTGGTGGGATTCAGCCGGTTTGCACCACTTCAGCAGAATCGGTAGCTAATTTTTTGTTGCCCAGGCCCAAAATGGACTTCTGGAAGCAGCATCCCCATAGAGAACCAGTTGTTCACATATTTGTATCCCACCGCTGCTTGAAACATATTGTCATAGTTGACTCACTGTGCATTTTTCCTTACAGCCAGACAACAGAAACCAGGGAAGGGTATGATTGGACTGTATGAGCAGCTGGGAGGGAATTGAGGAATTCATGTGCACCATCTGTGGCCTGGGAGAATCTCGACACCTCAAGATCTAACGATGAGAGCCTTCTGAGCTGAGCAGACAGTTTCCCAAAACAAAAAGATTATACTGGATTGGTGGACAATGGACAGTGGGTGGCCCAGGGGGGAAAAGGAGGATTTTAACTATGCAGTTTTTCATGCAAAAACTTGAGAACTGGCTTTGCTTCTACTGTGCTTATATGGATCTATCAGTAAAGTTATACTCTTGGTAAAATAACGTCTCAGGAGTTTCTTTTGCTGCATATGCCAATGGGATAGTTGACATATTTCAGGGGTTACCTCAGTTTATCTCCAGAGTAACCTCCCAGTATAAAAGATTGGGTTGGGAGATTCCCATGACCAAGTAGGGATTTTTTTCTTCAAAATTTCAGCTACAATACCACACTAGATCTTTTTTTTTAGAAATCTAGAATCATGTTTTCCAAAATGTAGGATTAACTCAAAGTGGTGGTCATAGGTTTTACTATTCACTATTCATTATAACAATTTCATTCCACTGTTTTCTAGTGGAATGAAACATATATTTTATAAGATTTTATATGCAGAGAAGAAAAGGTGCGGATTTCCTCTGTGATATTCCATAATGCATTGTTGTTTATAGGATGTATACTTGGCTTTGCAAGGATTTTCTTTCAAGACTGAAGATATTGAAGAAGCTATGAATAATACTATCTTGTATGGTGGCGATCTACATTCTGCACTTGACTGGCTGTGTTTAAACCTATCTGATGGTAATGATAAAGCTTTATGAATTTTGAGAAATCCAATATAAACTTAAAGCATTTTCTAAGTCTCCCTTCAGATCAGGTTTGAGGGCTGCAGGAAGGGAAAGAGGGAAGAATTTTCCTTCTATACATTGATTATCTGTATTTATTAATTGACATTGACAATTTCAAGTTTCTATTGGCTGTTCTAGGAGTTGAAAATTAAGATTAATTATAGATGCATATCAAGGCAGATGACTATCCAAATTTGGTGGTTTTCAAAAAGGTAAACAGGATCAAACCTAGTTAGTATTTGGGTGGGAGACAACTATTCAGTCTCAGGGATTCAAGTGAGACTGGAAAGTTTTAAAAAAAATGTTTCAGAACAAGGAAGTGCCAAGCTATACTTCCAAGTTTTAGAAATGTTCCTTTGGTCGACTAGATATTCTGCATATTAGAAGGAATACCAACAGAGTTTCAAACTAGTTGAGTGGGTTTTTTTCTTTAATAATGGGAAAAATATAGAGTTGTAGAATTTTTTTTCTCACAATGAGATGACATGGGACAGTCCAAAGGGAAATGAGAATCCTATAGGTGTATTAGAAGCAGAGATATAATATTTCTTGACTATTTTTTTAAAACAAAATAATTATAATGGGTGCATATTTTAGATAATAGATTAATGGATGGTGCTACCAATAGCTATATAATACTTAGAATTGTAAGGCCTAAAGAGAACATAAACAGGTTCATCAACTAGATCAAAAATCAAAAAGCGAGAGTAAGCCCATGAGCAGAGAACGGCTGAGCCTATCCTTGTTTGAGAAATAAACATTCTTAACTTGTATATGAGAATCATAATGTTCTTTGTGTGGGCATCATAATTTCATACATACATACATACTCTTACATAAAAGCATTTCTGTTACATAATTTTTTGAAATTATTCTAAAATGAAAAGCTGTGTAACATTTTTATTAACTGTGGCTAAGAAAATGTAAAAACTTTAAACTAAAAACCCATTTAATTATGGTTTAAATGTACTGTTAAAAAAGAGAAACACAGAAATAATTCTATCAATTTTGTATTTCTAGTTATTTAAAAAAAGGCTTTGGAAAAACACATAATCTCTTGCTTTTTCCAGTGTAAGTATAGGTTCCTGCAAGGACAAATCATGGAATTCAGCATTGTGTTATAAACTTTTTATTACCACAATGAGGCTTTTGCCTCACTTTCTTACTGCAACTCCCCCCAAATATTCTTGTGTTATCTAAAAGGTTGGGAATTTCTCTGAAGTAGCTTTTGAGAATTGGGGAGGGGGAGGGGATATCAAAGAAAGAGCAGATTTGCTTGCCACCTGCTTCTATTGTGCTGCCAGAAACAAAGTTCCAGATTCCACCTTTAGTTTTGAAATTATGATATGAATAGAATTAATTATACAATAAAAGGAAGATTTTAAAGATGTAATTCTAATTTAGAACTACAGATAATTATCAACTATGCATAAGTAGACAGTCAACTATATACGTGTAGACATTCAGTATTTGAAATTCTGTTTCTGCTTTTTAAAGATGCATTGCCTGAAGGTTTCAGTCAGCAATTTGGTGAAGAACAACAAAAAACTAGGGCTAAATTTCATTCTCCTTTGCCAAAATCTGAAACTCCTCAGGTGCTAAACAATAAAAGGAAGGAAGATGATGATGATGAGAAAAAGGTACTTTGCTGGATGTAGAGAAACCATAGTATTGTTTAATTTTATGGGGGAAAAATGCTTTAACATAAAATATATTTATTTGTCAAATTCATTGGAAGAAGAAGAAATGACTCTGGATGACATTAAATTTATTATTAAGAAAATGTATAAATGTCAGAAAGGAAAAGATCACCAACTCACTCGTGGTGACTCCGGGCAGCTTACAAGATAAAACCCTACCCCCCACCCCCCGACAACTACAGTTAGACCAATCACTTGATGGGCTCCACATCATTCTAAGTCACCAGGCTGTTGACAGAACCATGTCTTTAGGGCAGTGGTTCTCAACCTGTGGGTCGGGACCCCATTTGGGGTCGATCGACCATTTTATGGGGGTCGCCAAGCAAGGCTGTCCGCCATTTTTTTTGTCCGCCATTTTTTTCCCCTTTTCCGGCGGGTGCCTTACCTCCCTTGGGCTGGGCCAGCTGGTGGTCGGCCTGCTCCGTCTCTGCCGCTTGCCAGCTATGCCTCGGCCGGCGCAGGGGGCGGAACCACGCATGCGCGGCGCTCCCAGGCAGGGAAAGTCCTTGACTTACGACCGGTTAGGTAGTCCTCGACTCACGACCGGTTTAGTCCTCGACTTACGACCGGTTGGGGGTCGCAGCATTAAAAAGGTTGAGAACCACTGCTTTAGGGCCTTGTGAAAGACTGTCAAAGTGGGACTCAATCTTATATCTGCAGGGATGATGTTCCAATAGGAGGGAGCTACCACAGAGAAAGGCCTTGTTCTTGGTTCCACTATAAGAGAAGGGACCTGTAACATTCCCTGTTTCTCTGCTCTGGTAGGTCAGGTAGATATGACTGGATATTTATGCTCTTGCATTAAATGGAAGTATGAATTCAATTGTGTGACACTCTCTTTGCATGTTAGTGAATAAAACACATTAACTATAATGGGAATTTCTTCTAAGAAAACTAATTGAGTCATACAGATTAGTTCTAAGCAACAGCAAATTTTCAGTAATTTGTAAACTTGTTTTTAAGATGCATTAATAATAATTTATCTACACTATTCCTTTATAATATCCAAAGGTAACCACAGAAAAACAAAAAAGTATCAGTATGAAGGAACGAATCTTGTTGTATGCAGAGCAGCAGAGGGCTGAGGAAGAAAATGAGTCTCTGAAAAATTCAGAGGAAGAAGAATTTGACCCAGTAAGTTCATGAACTGTTTCATGTAGATATTTGTCTTTTTAGCATCCTGTTGTAATGCATATATTATATTAAGAACCGTTTCTTGGGCACAAGCAAGGCCTTCCTGAGGAGAGATGCCTCACAATCTTCCCTCTTCAGATGGAAAAGCGTTTGCCATTTTGGGAAGCATTAAGCAGAGAACCAGACCTATCTATCTGTTTAGTATGCTAGTAACTTTGAGAAACAGATTTTTCCTATTGAGTAAAGGGAGAGGAAGCTGCGGATTTAAATTTGTTCCTAGATGCTTGTTGTGGGCTAAAGCAAATAATAAAACTTCATCAGTCTTTCGCTTTTAAGAAAACTTGATTGCAGCTATACTATTGCTCATTATTACATCCAAATGGATGGAGTTAGTGGGAAATGTTGACTGGTTTAGCTTCTAAGTTGTGAAAATACTGCTTGAATGTAGTGCAAAAATAAAACATGAATTTGGTTCAGATTATAAGTAGGAATGTTACCTATAAGGTTGAAATAGAATACCCTCACCATTCATGCTTTCTGAGGGAAACTTGCTTCAATGTGAGAACGATAGGGTTCATAATAATATGGGTTGTTTGACCTAAGCTTGACATGTTGTGTTAACCTAGCCATTGTAGTTTGTAAACCATGGTTTATGGCTCCTTTAGCTGTATTCCAAGAAGTGTATCTAAAGGTGTGCTGGCATCAGAATTGTTAAGGAGTTTAAGCTGGCATTTATTTGTTCATATTTTTATTTATTTATTTTTCACATTTCTGAATAACACATCTCCCTCAAAGAGTGACTCTGCGTTGTATACAATAGAACATTGAAATATAAAACTGTATATTAAAAAGTTAAAATATTGAAGTCACAATTTTGAGTTAAATATTAAAAATTATAAACATTAAGTAGGTAAGAATAATTAACTCTGTTGAAAATTGGTTGGCAAAAGGAGGGCTCTCATGACACTAACCAACCCCACAACTGTGTGCTCCTTTGGGCTTCCCACGCAAGGCCGCAGAGCCATGTTTTAACCCCTTTTCAGAAAGCCAAGAGAGTGGGGCCTTGCCTTATCTCTGGGGAAGAATATTCCATAGAGCAGAGACAAAGGTAGAGAAGATTTGGAATTCTTTAACTGACGGTTCTGTAGGTAGCCTGGCCCCACACCATATTGGTTCTTCATGTCTTTAAACATGCCTGATGTTTTTTTAAAAAAATAACAAACATTGCTAGCATATTCATATGGAGTAACTAGTTTTTCTGGAACAGAATGAAAGATATTTACATTTGGCTGAGAAGCTTGTGGAAAAGAGAGAACTAGCAAGATCCTCTAAAGAAGAAAAAAACAAGCAGGGTCAAAAGATGGCGCAAGAAAAAATAAGACGTATTCAACAAGGTAGAGAAGTTCAACATTCATTTACTTGTCCAGTTTTGCAAAAAGTATTCTCATTTTACTTTTTTTTCTAAAACTGGGAAATTATAACCTCCAAAAATTGTACATCATGTATAACTAAAGGAATACATTTACCTGGGCAACATTTTTATTTTTGTTGCCTGTTATTATTATATAAACTCGTGGGCTTTATCAAGCAAAATTAATGCAGAGCCAAATAATACAGCTTGATTATTTGTGATTTGAGCAAAAATGATGTGTTCTGATTCAATAAATTTTCTGAATTTAGAGCAGTATACATATGTTTCCTTTAAAATATTCTGTGAGATTACGGTAATATTAACATGTATATTTTAATTTGCTGTGTGAATAGCGCTAATATTAATTCAGCTACAGAAGACAATGATATAGATTAAATAGGAGTAATATTTTTAAAACTTAAGCTTTCAAGTAGATAAAAAAAAACACTTTTCCTTCCCCTTCTTCCTAAGCAAGAGTATTTGATAATCCTTGGCTATTTGAATAAATCCTATTTATATTTCTTTTTTGACAGAAATGGCAACATTGGAAGACCACCCTGTGTTCAATCCCAATATAAAAGTCATAGACCAGCCAAGTGAAAAGAAAAAGAATCCTGTATTTCTTGAAAAAGGTGGAGCCTTGAATTTGAACATGCTTGAGAAATTACAAAATCCTCCTCCAGAAGAACAAAAAGGTATAAAATTTGTTTTAAAACTTCATGAATATTTTTGGACAATTCTCTGACAGTCTACCATAGAATATAAAGAGAAGATCATTCCTAAATGCAATACAGATTAGATCAATAGCTTTTGTAAGAGGCATCTAAATCATCTGCAAAATCTGTTGTTAAGCTTTTGTAATATTTGATTCTGTAGCATTCAAGATTTGCTCTTGTAAGTTGTGAATCTGTAGATTGCTTTCTTTGGAACAGAATATCACTGTATTTTTTAAATTCATTTAAAATATATCACAATACATATTTCCAGCAACATCAGATAAGAGGAGCATTGATTCGGATATGGGAAAAAATAAAAAAAGACATTATAGGAAAATTCCAAATTGGTTTTCGCCGATGGAGGCAGTGATTTACCCTAACACATTAGATAAAAAAAAAAGATGATTAGATATAAAGAATTATTAGACAACCAAGGAAATCTTAAATTAAGAGAAGAGTTGGAGGAACAAAGAATACCCATAGACTGGTGGCCATATTTACAAATTCAATCTAGATATAATAGGGATAGGCAAGAACACGGAATAAGTCAGACCCCACATCAACTTGATAAAATTTTAACAAGTAAGGAAGGAAAATTATTATCTAAAATTTATAAATACTTATTAGAGATAGAGTTAGAGGAAGAAATAGTGAAGGGGCCAATGATAGCATGGGCACGAAATGTGGGTCGAAATATAAATTTGGAGGAATGGGAAAGATTATGGAACATAAACTGTAAACTGACGCTATCAACTACATACAGGGAGAACCAATATAAAATGATTTATAGATGGCATTTAACACCGGCGAGATTGGCCAAAATGTATAAAAACATGGACCCAAAGTGTTGGAAATGTAAAATCAGAGAAGGAACATTTTATCATATGTGGTGGTTGTGTCCTAAAGCAAAAAAACTATTGGGAACGAATAAGAGATTGGATACAGAAGATAACTGAGGTACAAATTGACTTTAAACCGGAATTATTTATTTTGGGCATAATAAATTTAAAGATTGAAAAACAACTCCAACACATCATTATACACATATTAACTGCAGCTCGTATAGCATACGCTCAATGTTGGAAGAGTGAAAATACACCCACAAATGACATGATTATGTACAAAATCTTGGAATGCGCAGAAATGAATAAACTCACGTTAGAATTAAAAGACAAGGAGACAACAGAATTTTATGAAATTTATGAAAAAAAACCTGCAAATTATAAATAAACCTTTTGTACCCTGTATAAACTAGCAATAAAGCACAAGACTCTAGGTTCAATACTAGAATTATTTGGAATCTAGCTCTACACATGCATTAATTATGCCTGCTTTTCAGAGCTTATATTAAAATTGTTTATATTGAAATGCAGATTTAAAATTAATTAATGCTTCCTATCCTCTGTGTACATATAACTTTTGTTTTTTTCTTGCTGATATTAGTGAAAAAGAAAGATCCTCAGGTTGTAAGGAATTTTGATTATACAGCTCGAAGCTGGACTGGAAAATCTCCCAAACAGTTCTTGATTGACTGGTGCAGAAAGCATTATCCCAAGTCCCCAAATCCTTCTTTTGAAAAAGTTCCATCAGGAAGATATTGGAAAAGTAGGTATGTATAACCCTGAAGCAAGTTTTCACTTGATTATGCTTGATAGCTTCCATTCAAGTAATTTTAATGGATAAGTACATTCAGCTTGAAACATAGATTAAATCATTTACCCTCAGGTATAATTGTGCCATTCTGATCTAATTCATTCATAGTATACTATAATTTCTTGAGTTTTATAGGCAAGCAAAATTCTTATCACTATTATGAAGTCAATCTGACACCAAGTTCTCACATATGTCCATTTGCAAAAGTTGAATCAGTAGGATATTTATTTGATTTACATCCTTCTTTGATTTAGTACAATACAAGGTGACATACATAATGTTTCTGCCTTCTGTTTTTCCCACAATCGTGTGAGGTAAATTGGGCTGAGAGAAAGTAGGTAGCTCAAAAATCACCTAAAAGAATAGTTATACAGCAATATCTAAACATATTGCATAAGGAATGGATAGAATCAAGATCACGTGAACTGTTAATACCACTTTATAATGCCTTGGTAAGGCAACACTTGGAATACTGCATCCAGTTTGGTCACCACGATGTAAAAAAAGAGTACATAGAAGAGCAACAAAGATGATTAGGAGATTGGAGGCTAAAACATATAAAGAATGGTTGCTGGAATTGGGTATGTCTAGTTTAATGAAGAGAAGGACGAGGGGTGACAGGACAGCAGTGTTCCAGTATCTCGGGGGTTGCCACAAAGAATAGGGAGTCAAGCTGTTCTCCAAAGCACCTGAAGGCAGGACAAGAAGCAACGGATGGAAAAGAACCAAAGAGAGAAGCAACCTAGAACTAAGGAGAAATTTCCTGACAGTTAAAACAATTAATCAGTGGAACAACCTGCCTCCAGAAGCGGTGAATGCTCCAACACTGGAAGTTTTTAAGGAGACTGGACAACCATTTCTCTAAAATGGTACAGGGTTTCCTGCCTGAGCAGGGGGTTGGATTATAAGACCTCAAAGGTCCCTCAAAGGTCTACTACTACTACTACTACCACTACCACTACCACTACTACTACTATTATTATTATTTACCATTTCTGTTTTTTGAATTGCCATTAATATACATAATGCCACTGAAAAAATGTTATTTCAGATTATATCAAATTTGGAATTTGTTTATAAAGCTGACATTGATAAACAATTACTTTTAAATTTTATTTATGCAATTTATGGATTATCTGACTCATGACAACTCTGGGCAGCTTGTGTTATTTGAATAAGAAATATGGCTTGTTTCATCTATATGATAAAAGTTTGCTTATACATTAAAACCAACTGTACAAAACATGCATTGTCATTTCATGAACTAATTAGCTTATGTTTTCCTAAGTGACTGAACTGCTACACAGCTCATGCCATTTGGCATTTTAAGAACAAGTTGTGATTTCCCATTCCAAATAGTTGTTATTTAATATATTATTTTTATTAAGCTTGAACTAACTATTTTTAAGGGTAAGAGTTATCAAGTCAGCTGAAGATACATTGGTGGTGTGTCCCACAATCGTTACAGAAGATAGTATGCAGGCTCAACATCTGGCTGCTACGTTAGCTCTGTATCATTTGACAAAAGGGCAGGTGAGATTTTATAATTCCCAATAAAAGTATTTAAAAATAATTTGGTTAAAAGGAATGGTGGCATATACAGTATGTGCAATTAATATTTTGGTGATTAATGTAGGAAATGGTGACTCTTAAAACTTTGCAGTCTGATGGATCTGATTGCTTTCTATATTAATTTTATGCAGTTTCTTATTGGTAACATTTCTTGTTTATTCCATTTTTAATTGGGCAGTATATGATGCAGTTGTGACTTAAGCATTTTCAAAAATAATAAGTAGCATTCAGATACAGAAAAACTCAGGTAAGTCCAGCTGAAATGTTAGCTTGGCATGATGATATTAAGCATTTTTCTTTTTAAGCCAGATACCTATACCATAACTTCAAGAAGCCATTCTTACTCAGTCATAACCTCCAGATAAAAAGAAAACAGAGAGAGAAAGAGGGAGGGAGGGAGGGAGGGGGAGAGAGAGAGGAGAGAGAGAGAGAGAGAGAGAGAGAGAGAGAGAGAGAGAGAGAGAGAGAGAGAGAGAGAGAGAGAGAATAATTTCTGGAAGATCATTGGAGAGAGAGTACATCTGACTGTAGTAGACATTTAGAAGTAACAGAGACCTCCATCCCATAACTTGTCTATTAAAGTTTCACTACATACATAATTCAAAACTATGTTGCATATTTATCTGAAATCAGTTTTATTGAATATAATGAAACTTCTCAGTAAATAAATATTGTAATACATAATTCATTCTAAGCATACTTTAAAACTTTCCTTTTTGTGTCTCCTCTTCAGTCGGTGCATCAGTTACTTCCTCCTACATACAGAGATGTTTGGTTAGAATGGACTGATACTGAAAAGAAAAAAGAAGACGAAAACAAGATGGAAACCAACAAGCCTCGTGACCAGTTCATTGCCAGACTGCTGAACAAGCTGAAGCAGCAGCAGCCGCCACAACAGCAATTTGAAGGCAAGGCCAAACTTTCAGAAGATGCAGAAGATTCTTGGGAGAACTTAATTTCTGAAGAGGACTTTAATGGGCTTTCTCTTGAGACCTCATTTACAGATGACTTAGAACCTGTGAGAGCTCTCTTTAAAAAACAACAGAATTCTTCCAGATACCAAAGACTTCTAAAGGAGAGAGAGCAACTACCTGTGTTTAAATATAAACATACCCTTATAGAAACATTAAAAAAGCATCGAGTTGTGGTTGTGGCTGGGGAAACAGGTAGTGGTAAAAGCACTCAAGTTCCACATTTCTTGTTAGAAGATTTGCTACATAATGAACGAAATTTGAATAAATGCAATATTGTTTGCACCCAACCACGGAGGATCTCAGCAGTGAGCTTGGCAACTAGAGTTTGTGAAGAACTGGGCTGTGAAAATGGACCTGGTGGAAGAGTAAGACGTTCTTAGAGTTATATTCCAAAGACTGCTTTTCAGAGAATGTAATAAGACAGCTAAAGTGCTCCTAAAAGATCAGTTTATAATGGAACAAATTTTCATTTATGGCTTAGAGGAATTTCACAAAAGGATGTTAGGATCCTAAGGAAAAAAATGGTACATTATCATTCAGTAGTAATTTTAATTCCTTATAGCATGAGTTATGCATCAGTAATTGTGGTGCAGTAGCATTATCTGGCAAACTGAAGAACAGAATAGAGTTGCATTTGAAGTTCTGTAGGTAAACAGTCCAGAAACAGACTGAAGTTAGACCTTAAGGGTGTACTGAATTTTTGCAGTCAGTTTATAAGAGAAATTCCCCTTTTGAGGAAGCATGCTCCTCTTTCCGTATTTCTTTTTGAAATATTTGTTATATTTTTAATAAATACTAAGGAGTTAATCTTGCACAGAAAGTATTACATATCCTTAAAAAACACGAATAAAAAAGAGTAGCTAGCATCTCTTTCTGCTGGGATGGACTAAAAATTGGGCAGTGCTTCAAAACTACCTGCACCTGCTATAAATTTTTTTTTTTCAAACAGGAAAAATGTTTGTGAATTAATACAGGAGCAAAGTAGTATGTTCTAATAATAATAAATTTATTTTTGACAAACCTTTTATTTTCTTCTCTAAGAATTCCTTGTGTGGCTATCAAATCCGTATGGAATCGCGAACAGGAGAGGCCACTAGACTGCTCTACTGTACAACTGGAGTTCTTCTCCGGAAATTGCAAGAAGATGTTCTTCTTTCTAATGTGTCTCATGTTATTGTAGATGAGGTTAGCAACACTTTTTTAATTATCTCAAAACGGCACAGTTATTCATCCGTATTAACCTCCTCTATATCTTTTTCATAAAGGTTCACGAAAGAAGTGTTCAATCAGATTTCTTGCTAATTATCTTGAGGGAAATCTTGCACAAGCGTTCAGATCTCCATCTCATTTTGATGAGTGCCACAGTTGATAGTGAAAAATTCTCCAGTTATTTCACTCACTGTCCCATACTAAGAATTTCAGGAAGGAGTTACCCTGTAGAGGTAAATGCATAATTGTATTCCTATAACAATTCTTGATTTGATGTCCTATCTTTTCCTTTGGAAGTACCATAAACTGTTCATCTCTGAATCTGTGCTCAATAATATTAAAATTTTATAATGAACTGCCACAAAATTATTTCTAATGTGGATATGATTTCATATCCATTGATTGATTATATGCCATCAAGTCAGCACTTAGCAAACATGTAGTTTTCTCCATGATGATCTGTCCTTAATCTGATTCTTCGTGTCTTCCAGTGATGACACTGTAACCACGTCCATCCACCTTGCTGTTTGTCTCCTCCTCCTTTACCCCTCTGTTCATGTTTCTCAGCATCAGAGTCTTCTCTGCTGAGCTATGTCTTTCATAATGTGTCCAGACAATAATAATTATTACTTCTAAATAATCTGGTTCTTCATTTGTCCGTTTTAGTGCAAATAGCAGCATGCAATATGCAGAGTCATATATTATCCATGTTTAAAGACAGACCAGGATTACCAAAAGTTATGCAATTTTCCAGCTGAATTTTGTGATATTTATCTGAGGCAAAAGGTTGATGTACCTTTCTATTCCAATAATGGGAAGTTGCTTTGAATGTAATTTCAAAATAAATACAGTACATCTAAAATTGAATTATTTCACTTTACAAAACTCCAGGTTTTTCATGTTGAAGATGTAATAGAGGAAACTGGCTTTGTTCTGGAAAAAGATTCTGAATATTGTCAGAAATTTTTGGAAGAAGAGGAGGAAATAACAGTTAATGTTACTAGCAAAGGAGGAGGAATAACAAAATATCAGGTAACATTTTATGCGGAAAAAAATAAATCTGTTTTGTTGTTAATTGTGAAGTCATGTCCGACCCATCGCGACCCCATGGACAACGTTCCTCCAGGTCTTCCTGTCCTCTACCATCTTCTGGAGTCCATTTAAGTTCATGCCTACTGCTTCAGTGACTCCATCCAGCCACCTCATTCTCTGTCGTCCCCTTCTTCTATTGCCCTCAATCTTTCCCAGCATTAGGCCCTTCTCCAGTGAGTCCTTCCTTCTCATTAGGTGGCCAAAGTATTTGAGTTTCAACTTTAGGATCTGGCCTTCTAAAGAGCAGTCGGGGTTGATCTCTTCTAGGACTGACCGGTTTGAACGCCTTGCAGTCCAAGGGACTTGCAGGAGTCTTCTCCAGCGCCATAGTTCAAAGGCCTCAATTCTTTGTCGCTCAGCCTTTCTTATGGTCCAACTTTCACATCCATACATTGCAATGGGAAAACCATGGCCTTGACTATACGCACTTTTGTTGGCAGGGTGATATCTCTGCTTTTTAGTATGCTGTCTAGATTTGCCATAGCTTTCCTCCCCAGGAGCAAGCGTCTTTTAATTTCTTGGCTACAGAACTATTTACCAGTTGTGCTTAAAGTAGGTGTCTCCTCCCCTCTGGATTTGGGATTCTCCATTATTTTGCACCATGGCCCACTTTATTTAACAGGGGTTGTCAGCCTTCAGGACAGCACAAGATGGCCAGCCTTAGAAATTATCCTTTGAGGATTGCTGGAAGCAGCAGACTGATATTGTGATATTACAAAAAAGAGGCAGCCATGAAATCTTGGCTCTGTTTTGTTTCTTTATGTTATTTTTGGGGATGGGAAAGAGATTTATTACATTTATTTTAAAAAATAAAAAAATGGTGAAAAATGAAAATTGCTGCCAAGCTTTTGAATATAATTTTGGGAGGTCTAGCAAAAATATGGTTGGGGGACTGGACTGTTCTTTGGTTGCTCATTTCTGGTATAGCCTTTCAGAGTGACAGACGAAAGGATAGCAAATTTATTTCTAGCTCTGTTGCATGAACTTAAATTTGTATTCAATCTTCTGTTAGTTGATGTTGCAGTTAGGCTGTCTAACGCATATAGTCCTTTTTATTTTATTTATTATGTGCAGCAATAGATAAAACTATTTTGCTACATTGTTTTAGAATTATTGTTCCAAATTTCTTTCTGTTATGTTTAGGAAAGTGTTCCAGTTCAGGCTGCATCTGGTATTGAGCTAGGACCATATTACCAAAAATACAGCAGTCGAACTCGGGAAGCCATATACTGTATGAATCCCTACAAGATCAACTTTGACCTCATACTGGAGTTACTTGCATTTTTAGGTAAGTTTTTGAAAAATTACATAAAACACAAATTTAAAATAACTTTCTTACTCCTGATCTTTGTTTGCCTTTTTCCTTAAGGAAAATGCCTAATATGTACAGGTGTCCCTGTGTGTGAGAGAAACTTTTCTTGATAATAAAAATAAATTCTTTATTAACTTCCTTCTGTCCTTATACAGACAAAAGTCCCCAATTCAAAAATATGGAAGGAGCCGTCTTGATCTTTCTGCCAGGCCTTGCACATATACAGCAGTTGTATGATCTCATTTTGACTGACAGAAGATTTGATCTAAGACAGAGGTAAGCAAATCATGGAATGATAGATTCTAATTAAAATATACATTGTTGCATAGATTGAATTATGAGAAGATAGATGGGATTGCTAACTGAAAATAACAAATTTTAATTATTTAATATGCAATTACCCATCTAAAGATCAAAATAGTTTTTACCATAGTAGACATTTTTGGGTTTGTATGTAAAATAAATTATGTAAAACTAGATTGTCTACTTGTAAACATTTTCAATTTTCTGAAATGTTCTCAAGTAATGGATATATCAGTTCATATTGCTTATAATACAACTAGCAAGTATAAATATTAAAATAGCTATTAAAGGACATATTTTTATTGGCAGTGTTAAATATTTCAATACAATATGTTTTGCATTTTTGTAGTATATAGTATTAATACAATGTATCAATTCATACTGAATAATTAAGTTATAAATCCAAATCTCATGCATATTGTCTACTGAGATGTAGGCATTTTGTCTTACGAGTCAAAACAATACAATTTTTTTTTTTGCATTATAATTTTTAGGCACCAGTTAATAGCATTGCATTCTATTCTGTCTACTAAAGAGCAAGCATCTGCATTTACATTGCCTCCTTTTGGTGTTAGAAAGGTAAGCTTGAGGTATTAATATATCTGAACTGATATCTTGCCCTGCGTCTCAAGATCCCTGATCTTTCTTTCAGCCTTTTTGTGTCATGCGTGGTGCTTTTCATGTAATTTAAAGAAAGGGATTAAAGAGACAAAACTGAGTGTATCCCAAATGTTTCTAATGTGATATTATGGCCCAGGGCAGTAAAATGTCTTGATTGGTATTGAACTGAAACCAGAAACAAAGATTTCTGAAAAGTCAATGAAGATCATATAAAATTAGGATGTATCTTAATAACATTCAATTTCAGTTAGGACTGTGGCTGCAGTATTTTAGTTTTTTAAATAATTTTTTTATTTTATTTCCTAAGTTAAAATACAAGCTCCAAAAGGAAAAAAAAGGAGCAGTAACAAAACAAAAATGTGCATAAAGACAAAAGGTCAAACATATTTATAAGTATATTTCAACAATAATAGTTACCTCTCTTGCAAAACAGGTCCACAATTTATGACCTTCTACAGCTTTATTTACCCAACCAATTTGACTTACCATATATCTACTGTAAAAAAAGAACAGTTAACAGGTAAACCCAATAGCAAAGCTAAACTTCAAAGCCCTTTGTTAACAATCTATTATTGTATTTAACTCACATAAGGTCCAGAAACGGCTTCTAATCTACCACATAAAACCACTGCAGTCATTATTTCTGATCCGTCCAGTATCAGATATCCTTGATTGATTCTTAATAATAAATTTTTTCCTTAAAATTATAGCTGGGATCTTTCCAAACAATTGCATCTTATTCCCCAAAGTCATAGATTTCTGTTGTGCGGTATTTTATGTTAAGTGAAATACTTAACATAAGTATTCTTCAAGGATAATGTACTATTTATTCTATGATCCCTGATTTCAGGATATAGATTATCCTAAAGTGGCTCACTTTATTTTATTAATAAAAGAGTAAATGTTACAAATACATTGTAAGCATAATTAGAATCAGTTGTTTTGGATCTTAATGTTTGCTCATGTTCATAAAACAGACCTTTTCTCTCTCTTGTGTTTCTTTTACAGATTGTTTTGGCCACCAATATAGCTGAAACAGGTATTACTATACCTGATGTTGTTTTTGTAATTGATGCTGGAAGAACAAAGGAAAACAGGTGAAAACGCTTTTCACTAAAAAGGATCCGCTTTCATTAGAGATATATTGCTTTTTTTTTCAATAGAGTTTTGGATGCATTAGAAGTTTTTTATTTTTTATGCAATAACTAGATATAATGTAGTACTATACTTTTTCTAGAATAGGACGTTGTCCTGCAAAACAGTGTTTTATTAGATCAACTGAATTTTGAGGAATAAATAAACATGTACTCGTCAAAAACCTCATTGCTTATTTTGTTTCTTAAGTGCAAGCCGCTTTCTCTAGGCCTTTTTTGTATTTTCTTTCTTTCCATTTAGGCAGTTATGGAAATTTGATCTGGCCTACTGCAGGTGGAATGGGTGGGAGAAATTAGGAACAGCATTTAAGTTTGTGCAAGAGGTTAATGGAACAGATAACTGCAATTCTTCTGAAACTGGTTTCTTTTTCTGTTTGGTTGTAGATCCTATCAAAATAGGCATAGCTTTCTATGGTTGAAACTACTTAGCTAGGTTGTCAGAAGTACTCATTTATATAGAAGAAAACATAGTGTTCTATGTGGAGAGTTATTAAGTTTAGTATTAATAACGTTGTATGTGCTAGACATTTCTTTAATATTTTCTTCAGGTACCATGAAAGTAGTCAGATGAGCTCATTGGAAGAGACTTTTGTCAGTAAAGCTAGTGCACTACAACGTCAGGGGCGAGCAGGGCGTGTCAGAGATGGATTTTGCTTTCGACTATATACCCGAGACAGGTAAAATTATTTTAACCACCAAAGTATTCTATGTTCAAGGCAGAACCATTTGCTAAAACTATAGCACTTCTGTTATGATATTTAATTTACCTATTAAATTGTCTCACATATACTACCACAAACATGCAAAATTTATTAACCATATTATATTTCATTCTAAGATGTATAATCCTTTGGGAGAAACTACAGAACTAAAGTAGCCTGTATTGAGTTGAAGAATCCACCATCAAAGAAATGGTTGACAACTTAATGCAAATGAATAGTTCCCATTGTAGTGATAGATATTTATACGTAACAAGTTCCATAATAAATATTGGAATATAGCAACTTAAATCAGTTCTTTTGTTCTTTGCCTTTTGCAGATTTGAAAGTTTTCTAGAATATTCTGTTCCAGAAATATTGCGAGTTCCCTTGGAAGAACTGTGTCTTCACATCATGGTATGATATCTTGGCTTTAAATATTCATTATTTTGATTTACCAAGAAACCCTGAGAATCTAGCTAAGTGTATTGTTGGCAACTGTTTACCTTTCTAAACAAGAAAAATTCTTGCATGAAGTTGTAATCTCTTGGCAAGACTGCAAGAAAGTTTAGTCATACCTTAAATGCCCACATGATGTATGGTAATAAGGAAGAGGTAAAGGAATAGACCATTATGTAATGTCATATTTACCATGCCCATTTGAAAAAAAAGATATTTTGAATGGTGTGGGTTTTCATAAATGAAAAATAAATCAGTATTTATTAAATAAGTATTATGGCTTTTGTACAATGCACATATACATCACATGCAAGCATGAAACCCTGGCATAAATCTAAAGTTGCTAGATATGGATGCTGGTTTTAGAAACAGAGATATATGGGAAATGACTATGAATATTGCAAATTAGCTTTGCTTTATCCTATCAAAACTGTTCACATAGTTCCAAGTTAGGACAAAGGTTGCTGTAGTTCAATCATATGAGGCCAGGATGTATAGCTGACTGAAGGAGGATAACAAATAGACCCTCTTCCTATATCAAAATGCATAGAACCTATAGAGTTAACTAAGTTACTTTGAAACCTGAAATAGAAAATCCCATCATATTGTATATTACATATGTTATCTTATGTTAGTAAACATGAAAATATGGAAATAATTTAGAAGTAGTTAAAATGTGTGAATGAATGAGAGTTATATATGTTTTCAGGCTCATTCTATTTTTTTTTTCTATCTATAGAAATGCAATCTTGGTTCTCCTGAAGAATTCCTCTCCAAGGCATTAGACCCACCTCAGTCTCAAATTGTTGCCAAAGCTATGTATCTTCTAAGGAAAATTGGGGCTTGTGAATTAAGTGAGCCCAAACTGACTCCTCTAGGCCAACATCTTGCAGCCTTGCCAGTAAATGTAAAGATTGGTAAAATGCTTATATTTGGTGCTATTTTTGGCTGCTTGGATCCAGTGGTAAGTTGATGGCTAACAATGGGCAGCCCATTACTAGCCCAGTGCTCATGAAATAAATGTTGATCTGAGAACCTATTCTATACAGGCTGGTAGATTAGATACTGTTTATGATACGTAAAATATTATTTCAGTTGATTCAATGCAAAACTAATGCTCATTGTTTCTTCTGGGATTTTTGAAATGCAGTGTCCTTTGAAGAAGAAAATATTGGCCTGTTTCCAAATCATTGTAAATGTCTGGTCACATTATTATGTCTCTATATTATTTTCATATAGAACTTTCCATCTTTGCTTTAAGATTTTAGATTCTGACTGTCCTTACCAAAAGTTTTGCAAATTTGCAGTATTGTGCCTTGTACATCCTAATAAGTGTTTGTAGCATCCAAAATAAAATGTCAAAATAGTATGAAATATCATGTGTGAGTGCTGAAATCTTATGCGGTTGTATAGGAATTGCAAATCTCCAAAGAATTTTTTTTTCCATGATAGTATCAGAAAATGTCACTAACTCTTTTCCAGAGCCCAGCATCTTACAGGTAGTTCTTGTGTAACAACCCTAATTGGAACCAGAAACTTTGCCACTGAGTGAAGTGGTCACTAAGTCACTAAGGAAATCATATGATCATGACTGCTTTCTGACTGGAAAGAGATAAAACTATTCAATTTCACAACTTCAGCTTTTCTTTGCCTCCTAACGACCACTATCTCATCCTTTTGAATGGTCAAGTACCTGCTTATTGTCTTATATACATTGGAAGCAGGCACTTGAGAGGTCCATGGGTACACAGGTTACTCTATTGAAATCCCTTTTACTCCAATCTCTCTGTTTGCAATAGATGGGTTATTTCTGTAGCCAATCTCTTTTTGTCTGACCCTTTTCTGCTGCTGGCAAGATCACATTGCTTTTGATGTGCAGAAGAGTAAACAGCATAATCTCTCTTTAAATGTCTTTCTCTTCAACCTCTGCTCTGCAAGGTGGGGCAGGACAATCAGACAAAGGAGTGCTTGCTATATTGTCCCCTCTCCCTTCAAAGAGAGGAGAGATTGGAGAGAATGAGATTTCAGGAGAAAAAGCTGTTCTTTTACAAATCAAGAGCAAAGAAACAATCTCTTTGCATAGCATGCCTACAGCTCCCAGTCCGGGGCTTCTTGTGTGATCACATGGCTTTTGATGTGTAAACAGCTTATTTTCTTGCAATCCCTGTCTCTAATTTCTCTGCTTTGCAAAGCGGGAAAGAAAAAGAACCAGGTCAGGCACAGGACAATGCATACTGATTCTAATGACAATCACATGATTTAGGTATGTTGTAAAGATCATAAATCAGGCGGAAGGTTATTTTTTTCAGTTCCATTGGTTGGTAAGCAAGAGCTACGTCAATATGCGATTATATGGTACAGTCCTATGATAGTGGCCTTATTCTTTATTATAAAAAACTTTTTAATAAAAAAATCAAGAGTAAAAATATAAATGTTGCTGTACATTGTCATATTTTGTAGGCAACTCTTGCAGCTGTAATGACTGAAAAGTCTCCATTTACTACCCCAATTGGAAGAAAAGATGAAGCAGACCTGGCAAAATCTTTTTTGGCATTGGCCAATTCAGACCATTTGACAATTTACAAGGCATATCTGGGGTAATTGAAATGATTTTTCTTAGAATATTTTTATTTATTTATCTGTGTACTGCCTCTATACTTTCATTCATCTGTTCTTCCATTGCTTTCTTTCTCTACAATGACGATACATTCCAACCTGGGGAAGAATTTTGTTATGGTTAACTGCTTTCTCTACTCACTCTGCTTTCTGTATCTTCTCTAGTTATTTAATAACTTGTCCTCTGAGATAAGTTTGAGTCATGGTGACTTTAAGGGCATATATGTGAAGTTTACTTCAGTGGTCCCCAACCTTTGTGGCTTGGCCTGGCTAGAGGGAGGGAGATGGAAACTGGCCGTGCGAGTGGTAGGCTGGCATGCACACATTCAGTTCAACTAGCATGACATGCGGGCCGGCACACGAGTGCCTGGCGCTCACACAAGTTGAGCTGAGCATGCATGCATGCTCCAGTCAGCCACTCGCACAACCCAATTCCACATAGGCCATGGCCCAGCAGTGGGCCATAGCCCAGGGGTTGGGAACCCCTGGTTTACTTAATGAAAAAGAAAACAGAAGTGGCTTCTTTCAAGGTGTTTTGGCTTCTCTTACTAATTTATAGTGCTGAGATTTCCTAGTGCTCTTTTGTCCAAGTATAACTAAGTTAAATTCTGTTCAGGTTATTTGAAATAGCAATAATATATATATAATTTATATGAAACCATAAAAAGGTTTAATAAATATAAAACGCCAAGCTTTCGCCGGGTCCTCCCGGCTTCATCAGGGCAAACTGCCACGAATGTGAGATGTGCTTTATAAGGATGGAATCTTTTGCACACGGCCCTTCGATCGTGTTGTGGGGCCCAACTGCTCCGTCTGCGTTTGAATAATGCAAGTCACGCTGCTGATTGTT